TGTCCATTGAGATTCAAACAATTCAAGCTAGACACCATAAGATAGAGCATAATTTTAGAAAAAAATTGTGAAACTAATTTCATAATTTTCGGATGTCAAACAAATTTTGTATGAATTTTCTAAGATTAAAACTAGGTTTTAGGATTTGTAATTGTATTATTTTTCATGTAAAAATATTTGGATAATTTTTTTGAAAACTTATTTTTATGTTTATTTTTCAAATATTGTTAGTTTGATTTACCTCCTGAACTTTTACCTTACTAGATTTACCCCTTTCTAACATGGCTTCGCATTAGCAAAACCACCATAAAAATTATCTAAGATGAGAAACAAATTATTTTAAAAGTTTAGGAGGTAAAAAAAAAACTGGTTTTACAGTTTAGGAAGGAAAATTGGATGACCGCTGCTCGAGGGAGGTGAACTTTATTTGCTCACGTTCAATGTTTATCGGTGCGATGGCCTAGAGCGGCCCAACTTGTGTGGCCCAGCAAATGTTGGTCTTCATCAAGCTGGCCTGTATTACAGATAACAAAACTAGTGACATCAAAGCCCTATGCATCTTTCTGGCCCAAGCAATGGTCGCGACCCAAGCGAAGGTCCAGGACGAGGAGTGAACGAAGCTGCTGGCCTGTATTACAGATAACAAAACTTTGAATCTCTACCTCACGAGCAGCTCACCCGGCTGACGATAACCTTATGGGTCATATGGACAGCTCGTTGCAAGGCTATTCACGAGGAAATTTTTCAAAGTCCTTTATCCACCCATGGTTTCATTAACTCATATTTGGAGGAACTGAAATCTATTGCTAAGCCATCTAGTGGGACACCAGTTCATGCGGTTCCAGTACCAAGGCAAGCTTGTTAGATCCCTCCCCCAAGAAATATACCTAAAATTAATGTTGATGCGGTTGTGTCGAAAACTGAGAATCGAGGGGCAGCAGCAGCCTTCTGTCGAGACAATGATGGTACTTATCTTGGAGCTTCTGTAGTGGTCTTTGTTGGCATCACAGAACCTGCAACTTTGGAAGCCTTGGCCTGCCGTGAAGCTCTTGCTCTTGCTGAAGATCTTGCTTTGGAGAGATTATTTGTTGTTTGCATCGCAAGACAGTTGTCGGAGATTAGTGAAGGAACTTTGGGTAGCTATGGCTCGATTATTCTTTGAGATAAATTCTAACCTGCACTCTTCAATGAGTGTAGTTTTGCCTATGAAAGAAGAGCTTCAAATTTTGAAGCACACAATCTAGCTAGGCATACAAATTTTTATGGGACTGGCCGCCATCTGTGGCTTGGTGTACCCTATTATGATATTATTCATGTAAACATTGTTATTGAGTAATAAAGCCTAGCTGACTGTCAAAAAAAAAGATAACAAAACTAGAGCTCAATCCACAGAGCTTATCTTTTATCTTGCCAGACAACATATAGTTCAATCTACCTTTTTATCTTTTAATAACGAGTTAAGCAGTATGATTATTCAGATACTTGCAATTCACAACATTATGATTATCCCGGTTCGCTATATAACATTAACGTTGTTGGTCAATCGTTGATCAGCTAAGCACATAGAGTAAATTACAGTGCACAAAGTTGTTTACTGTGGGCATATACGCTCCAAAGTAGGTGTATTTTGCCATGGCAGCACATGACATGGAGGCAACGCACCACCCTGCTCCTCTCGCGTCGTCCTTGGGGTACACAATCACTTGCCTTGATCAATTCGGAAGAGGCAACACAGCACCATCATTCACACGGCATGGAAAATCCATTGCCAATTATGTATCTAGGACAATATATCCCTCCGTTTTAAATTATAAGTCGCTTTGATTTTTTTGATTCATATTATTATATCTAGATGTATAGCAAAATAAATATACCAAAAAAAGTTAAAATGACTTATTATGTTTAGATACGTAGCAAAATGGATGAACCAAAAAAGTTAATGCGACTTATAATTTGGAACGGATGGAGTACTATAATAGGTTACCGACAATGGCTCAGAGCCTCAGACTAAAACAAGAATTGGAGTTAACTGAGTTGGCATGAACGGAAGAGCATAGACAAGTACTCATTGACTGACACATCAAGAAATGGAGTTAACTGAATTGCAATAATATGTGCATAATCTGGTGCTCATTCGAAAGAACAGAGGACCCAGCAGTGAGACAGCAGAGCACGGGAGGCTATTTCAACTCGATTTAGCTCGACTCAGTGGTAACTGGTAAGTATCGATCAGCTCGGCTCGCTTTAGCTCGACGATCTCTTGGCTAATCTCCCCCGATAGAGCTTGTACTGTACAACATGACCAGGTGGCCCGCCGCTTGAGCACCCATCGCGCCAACATCCACCGCTGACGCCCTGACACCCACGAAGAGCCCAAGAGCCAACAAGCACAGAGAGAGACGCTATTAACAAGGAGACACCCACGAAGAGCCCAAGAGCCAGGAGGACAAGGAAGCCCAACGTCCGCCTTGGCGGTCCAGAGTGGAATACTTGAGTAGGCCCGTTGCATTGAGTGATATGCTGTTTCTCTTACAACTGTAATCGAGAGAGGGGAAAAAGCATCAGCTGAAAATAATTTGAAAAGTGCTAAACAACATATTTCATATTATGATTTTGAGTGGTTGATTGACATTAGAAAGAAGCCTCAATGTCAAAAGTAGTCCAACAATGCTAGTTTTGCTACGGTGTAAGTCAACCCAACTTACTGTGCCATAGCACCGTGAAGGAAAATTGTACTCAATCTTGGTAGTGTACTGTTTCTCCAATTAGTGAATACTCGCAACCTTTGTTGTCCTCCAGACCTCGTTATCATCCTTCTTCAGTAATGACTTCCAAGGCGGACTTGTCCTTTGGTACCTTTCATGTATTTTTATCCAAGGGGTTGCATCAGATTCAACCCAGATAACTGTTGCCGCTTGGATACGAGGATTCCCTCAAATAATGATCGTCGAAAACGTTGAGTCAACAGAGTCAGCTATCACATTCACCGCTCACTCAACGGACTCAGATAATACAGTGTTATCATTAGAGAAAGAGAACTGCACACATGGAACATTATGTAGTTTTTCATCGGTTGGCATCTGAGTGATTGAACAGTTACGACCAGCATAGACATTGTCTGTTGGTTAGTCGGTTTCTTATAGCCCGGAGGATGTTTACCCCATCTGTGATCTCATCCCTTATGAAAAGTTGTACTCAAGCTACCTTGGTAGAGGACTGCTTTTTGAACTTTGTGAACGAACATGGAACCATTGTAATGAGTAGCTTTCAGAAGCCTGCAGTCTTGCGCTTGTCTTGGTTGGTGTCACATAGGCGGTGAGATGTGTCTCTAGATCATCGGCGACCACCGAATCCCTAGTTACTTGTATCCAAATACAGTTTCAGTTTTGAAGTTTGACCTCGTAGCATTAGTAGTATTACATCTGGTATCAGGAGTCTAGATCTTGGCGCAGGCGCAACGTACGCGACTCCAAGTGACGACCTCGATGGGGAGGGGGCGTAGACGGCAGCCAACAGCGCGGCTTTGCTGGGGGCAGGACCGATGGCGGAGGTAGGGGTGCCGCTCGCCCGGAGTCGAAGCGGCGGAGGCTACGGGAGGGGAAGCTTCGGGAGAGAGAGAGGAAGGGTGAGATAAGTTTCTTTTTGTTTTTTGGGATTGGATGTGGAGCAAAATCAGGTGAAGCTAAAAAGAACCACGAGAAGCCATTTCCGGTGGAATCCGCTCTAGGCAATTTGAGGCCCCGGATGTGAGATCGGACGACCAACGTTCAGCGGTGACGTGACCGCACGGGGGACCAAAAGTGGTATACCCTGTAGCCTGGACACAAATGGCTCTAGCTCTGCCTGCGTCTCCTCATGAGCCACGGAAGCTGCCTGTTCGTAGCTTCGCCGGGCTCCACCACACAGACCGGAGCCTGGTCAAACGAGCCCTAAACTGCTGAGAGCAGGGCCAACACGGTGGAGAAAAGTCGGTGGTTCCAAGAAAAAGCTAATCACCACGTAGTTACTGAGGCTACAGCACTGTGCAATGCGGGCATGTTGCCCCTGCTCTAATTGATGAAATTTTGGTTGAAACCTGGGTGAAAAACACCGCATTTTGGTTGAATTGTTGTGAGAGAAAAATCGTTCGTTGAAAAAAAAAAAAAAGTTCGAAACAATGCTCCAAATATAGAGTAAGCCGAAGCCAATCGCCACTTGTTCGTTTCTGGGTCCACTGTTCTCTCACATGCTCACATACGTGGCTTTCAACCGCTCCTCCACCTTCTGTCCCATGTCGATGCGCTCTCTCTCTCTCTCTGCCAAGCCATCGACGCCTATTCAGGAGACTATTACACCCTGCGAAGCAGCTATCCCTCTCATTCTCTCCTCTATCTGGCATCCAATCTCTCCTCTATCTGGCATCCGAACCTGGATTGATGGGGCTAACATACACCTACGTGGAGGGTTGGGCATGGCCTGAGCACCGCGAACGGTAAAACCAGTAGTACAAAGCCGCAACGTCGCGCCATTTTATATTCCGTGACGTAGTAGGTCCCACCCGCCGAAGCGAGCGAGAGGGGAAAGCCGTTTCGCAAGGGAGATTCCAAGTGCCAGCCGTACTGACACATTGACCATGTCCCCCTCCGGCAGTCCGGCCTCCTCCACTGCCAGATTCCATTCTTCCATCCCATACTCCTTAAAATTACAAACAAAACCATTTAGGGACCCGTGTGTAAAACTCTTACAGCGCGATCGACACTGGTACGGTATTCTCCTGTCCCTGCCCAAAAAGCTCCTCATTCTCGCAGCAGCGTGGAGTAGTGGGTGGCGGAGGACGGGAATAAAAAAAAAAAAGAGGGTCCGGGCGGGTGTCATGGCGCTGCTGCCTCCCTAGCCTGCCCAGCCGCCTCCCCAACCTCCCCCTCACCGAGGAGAGACCGAGACAGAGAGAGCAACAACAGGACACGGGAGAGAAGAGGTCCATTTCCGCGTCGTCTCCGCCCCACAGCCCCACCCACCACATGGCCGCGCTGCCGGGTGGGGCCCACGCCGCCGGCGCCGCGGACCCGATGCAGGTGGACCAGCCGCTCCCCGCCGCCGCCGCAGCGGCAGCCGCAGCACACGCCCCCGCCGACGCCAAGGTGAGCGGTTTTTTTTTCCTGTCCACCCCCGCTGGCGTGTGGTTCCGGCGGCCCGGAGCGGTCGCGCAGGCCTCCCGGATCTCCCCGCTCCGCCCCCCGCGTCGTGTTTGGTGGTTCCCTCGTTCGATCCGTCCGTAGATCTGCTCCGCGCGCGGCGAGGCGAGGCTAGGTCTAGCTGCGTGCCCCTTCCGCGCGATTTCTCTTGGAGGAGGAGGAGGAGCGTTGCTTGCCGGGGAGGAGATGCGCTGCCTTCCTGGTTCTTGCGTGCGCGCTATGCAAGCTTCTCGCCCCCTGCTTTCGCCAGACTGCTTGGCTTTAGCATGCCGGCTTGGGGCGCCTTTGCATACTGGTGTAGTAGGTGATCATGACTGTGTTCCAAATGGGGGAATTAAACTAGGTAGTTACTTTTTAGATGATTAGGACAGTTAATCTCACTCTCCTGTCTAAGCCATGGTGTGATTAGCAGGTTTGTGATGTATGCTTTGTCTTGTTGTGATTTCAGTTGTGTGGATAAGGATTTCCTGAGTTGTTGAGTTTCCATTTCTAGCAAGCCTAGTTTGTGTGAATTAGCAATAGTTGGGTGGCTGTGGGGAATTCTACAACCTTGTGCTATCGGCTATGTGCAGCCACCTTTTCTTATGGATTTTACTTTGTGACAGCATGCTGGTTCTATGATTGAAGGGAGTGACCCAGTCACGGGTCATATAATCTCGACAACTATTGGAGGGAAGAATGGAGAGCCTAAAAGGGTAATTTTCAGGGGACCAAAAGTCACATGACATTATTGACTCATGCATACAGCTTTCTTTCCTAACTTGGGTTGGGTGCTTTTCTGCTTCTTAGACTATCAGCTACATGGCAGAGAGAGTTGTGGGAACTGGATCATTCGGAATCGTCTTCCAGGTAAAGTGACGATTGCTTTGCTATAAATCTTCCAAAGTTTTTCTGTTTTTAGTTACCCATTACCCTGATTGTATTGTCTGCGTGTACATTTAGGCAAAATGTCTGGAGACTGGTGAGACTGTTGCGATTAAGAAGGTTTTGCAGGACAAGCGCTACAAGAACAGGGAGCTGCAAATCATGCGATCTATGGATCACTGCAATGTTGTTTCCTTGAAGCATTGCTTCTTCTCTACCACAAGCAGAGATGAACTTTTCCTTAACTTAGTGATGGAGTTTGTTCCTGAGTCACTATATCGTGTGTTGAAACATTACAGCAATATGAACCAGAGGATGCCGCTTATTTATGTTAAATTATATACTTACCAGGTAAAAAGTCATTTACACTCTTTTGGAAATTCTGCTACTCTTTATTGTTAAATTTACCGTAGATTGAATGTGATTTTGTTTTTTTCTTGGTCCTTTTTATGCAGATATTTCGAGGTTTAGCCTATATTCACACAGTACCTGGAGTTTGCCACAGGGACGTGAAACCACAGAATCTTTTGGTATGGCCTGTCCATATTTTTTTAATTTGGTTTCACAAAATCTTAATTCTTAATTAATCTGAATCTAAAAGTCACTTCATTCATTATAGGTTGATCCGCTGACTCACCAAGTGAAGATATGTGATTTTGGGAGTGCCAAAATGTTGGTAAGTTGATGCAGTCCTGTAGCTTTTCTACAGCTAATACCATGTCTTTTCTTTATTGTTCTAAAGAAGGCATAACAGTGCAGTTTGTTTTGCATACATCGTTTTTAGTGATGAAGTAGCTTCTTTTTGTTATTATAAAAGTTTCTATCTATGGAAAAAATTCCTTACACACCACTGAATAGATGAAATTCCTCTCTCTGAGGATATGTGACTCAAATTTAAGTATGTGCTTCAGTGGCACAAAAGGGATTAGAGAAGAATCCAGTGTTCCACCAGGCCTGCCTCCTCTTTTGCTGCTTCTTTAATGCGGGCCTATTCGTTTAACGTAGTTTTGTTGCTTTTCAAGTTTCTGAATATATAGAATACATATTTTACTCATTTTAATCCTATTTTAATTCACAATTTGATCAGGTCAAAGGTGAAGCAAACATATCATATATATGCTCACGTTATTACCGTGCTCCAGAGCTCATATTTGGGGCAACTGAGTACACAACATCAATTGATATTTGGTCAGCTGGATGTGTTCTTGCTGAGCTGCTTCTTGGCCAGGTTAATTTCTCTTCTCTGCTTTTCCCACAGATTTCCTGTGGTTATGTATCCATCTGGGCAGCAAACCTAGAACAATACACATTTTTGTTAAAATGATTTTACCAGCCTCTCTTCCCTGGTGAAAGTGCTGTGGATCAGCTTGTTGAGATAATAAAGGTACTTGGTTGTTTTGCAGACTGCACTATATTAGTTCTAAAGAAATGTGCTAACTAGTGTTTTTCTGTTTCCATGTATTGAATGGATTTGCTTTGCTGACAGGTTCTTGGTACTCCAACACGTGAGGAAATCCGATGTATGAATCCAAACTACACCGAGTTTAGATTTCCTCAGATCAAAGCTCACCCATGGCACAAGGTATGTGAAATTTATTTATCACGTTATTTCATTGAATGATACATAACTTAAACTAAAATACCTCTACTGCTGCAGATTTTCCACAAGCGGATGCCTCCAGAAGCTATAGATCTCGCTTCACGTTTGCTCCAGTATTCACCAAATCTACGATGCACTGCTGTGAGTTTTTTCTGCCTATTTGACTGATTCTAGTCAACTAAAGAGGCCATCTACCTATCAATGATTGCAAAGCTTAGTTATGACATTAATTGTTTCTTCCTAGTTCGTTGGTCATGTCGACCCATCGCTTTCTATTCTAGCTGTTAAATGTTTCAACCATCTCAGTTTGCGTGTATAAAGCTAGTACTGATGATTCATTCTATTAAAAAAAACACTAGTACCAATGATTGGATATGATGGCGCCATATCCTTTTCCTTTCTATCCTCATAAATGGTGTACTAGCCTTTACCTGATATCCTCTGTAGCAAGACAATGCTTCACTTTATACCATCCAAAATGGATTTTTCTGTAAGCTTTTCACCTCTTGGAGTCTGTGCCGAGTGTTAAAAAGGAACCATGGAGGTCTTTGATTGCCTTAGGCCTTGTTTGGATGTTGTCGGATTCACCTCAATCCACATGTATTGGGGTAGATTGTGGTGGAATTTAGTTCAAGTTCCACTCCAATCCACCCCAACACATGTGGATTGATGCAAATCCGACTACATCCAAACAAGGACTTATCTGGATTACCTTTGTCAAGACTCAAGAAGTCAGGAGGCTGTTAGCCTTTATAGAGTCAGATGCTTGTACTACTCTCCGCTGGATTTCAGTTCGGCACTGTAATTCGTACCTTGTGAAATTTCCTCTCCTTGGAAGTGAAATTACTGGACTTGAAAAGATAACAGCATTTAGAGTGTCTTTTTTAAGAGGACAATGTTGTAATGCATCAACCATCAAGTCTGAGATGCCTAGCCTAACCACTCCTGCTTTCCTACATTGTGTTGATTTTATTGCTAATTTTGGTAACTCCCGCAGCTTGAAGCGTGTGCACATCCCTTCTTTGATGAGTTGCGAGAACCACATGCGAGGTTGCCAAATGGACGGCCATTTCCTCAACTGTTCAACTTTAAACAGGAAGTAAGTAGTTTCAAGACTGATACTCATTAATGCTTTGCATGTGCTTTACTATTAACAAACTAGGCAAAGCATGTGGGGAACTGTAGTTGCGTTTGACTGAAATGGTAATTTCAGCATGCGTTAAACAAATGTCCGGCACAAAACAGCTGAACATAAATGTCTGTCTATAAGTGAGATACCAACATATTTGCCTATTAATTTGCAGCTAGCAAATGCCTCCCCAGAGCTCATCAACAGGTTGATCCCAGACCATGCTAGGCGGCATCTTGGGCTCACTTTATTGCCCACTACCGGACCATAGGCGAAGGCTCTATGGTGTTTAAACCTTGCTCTTCTGATGCTTCGTTGTGCCGAAGGCAACCTGCATGTTCCTCACATTCAAGGTGTAGAATCTGACCATTATTGGAAAGCCAAACATGAGCTGGCGCCAATGTGTTGCATAAGGAGAGGTGGTATGTTCGTGCAGCCAGCCTTGGTCACTTGTTTTAATGCAAAATCTGATTTTGCCTAAGTAGTGAGAGGGAAAGGGTTGGTGTATTGTTAAGCTATTTGAAGGAATTCAATCCCTGCTATTGTATTACTTTCTCCAACGTTAAACGTTGTAGTGCGCCTGTAAGTGTTCCATATCCCCTGCTGTCAGTCGGTGTAATTCTGTAAATGTTATTAATGGAAAATTATATCGTGCTATTGGTAATGATCGACTCATTGCCCCCTTGCCAATTCCAATCACATATCCCCTGTCTTGTAAACAATTTTTTGTTTTCATTGTTAGTCGTGCTGATCGGGGAACTGTAACAGCTGCTTCCTGCAAGAAGGTTTTGATTCTGAGTGGTCTATCATTTTCCTCGCTATGAGTTTCCGAACTTCTTTGTTATAGTATGGATGATCTAATCCTGGATGAATTGTCATCCTAGAGTAGCATCAGATCGGCATGTGTCATGTGTTCAAAAGGCAGAAGAGCCAACAACAGATATAATGGGGGAATAAAAGGTACAGGTGAGCGCGAATGGGTTCTGTCGGCTACGGCGGGCAGTGGCGTGGTCCATTGGCGACCGATTCTGTTCGTTACTAGTGTGGTTGAGCAGGCCGCCATTTATTCGCTTTATTTGTCGCGGCGCCGACACCGTGATACACCTGCTCAGTTTTCTGTCTCAACGGCATTTTGCAGTTGACTTGGCAGCCTGCAAGTTGCTAAAGCATACTCTTAGTCGCCACGATTTACATGTCGATAACTTTGACTCGATTTATAGAAAATACGTACAACATTTCTATCTCAATAAATTTATTAAAAAACTAGATACAAATATCTATCCAATGATACTAATTATGTATCATAAATATTAATATTTTTTAATATATATTTAGTTAAAGTTGTTTTTCGGGAAACGAAAACGACATGCATTTAGGGACGGAGGGAGTACCGTTGTTTTGTTCCTTGTAAAGGTTTCTTGAGTTCACACTGGCTACTACTGCGTTGTATCCCTGCATAATTTTCAGTATTCTATGGTCAATAGTCACGGTACTGACAGGCTCAAATTGGAAATGAACGGCGCTGCAGGTTTCAAAGTGAGCAGGTGAAGCTAAATAGATTCCGCTAATTGAGCATATCGATATATTGACTCGAGCCAGGATTACAGTGTGTGTCTATATACCACCAGAGTGGAAGGACCCACACAGAATGCTCGGACGGGGGAGCACTTTTGGCCAGGGTGAAAGAGGACTCGGAGCCGTTTTCTATGCTCCGAGGTGAAGATGTGATTTGAGACTCTGGCTTTGGTGCTGGTGCAGATTGAATAGGAGTCGCACCATAAATGACTTTAATCTTGTGGGAAAATACATCCCTGAAGCCCTACTCAAGTCATGTTTGGTAGGTTTTTTTTATGGCTCCGGCTTCTCTAAAGAAGTCGGAATCATCGGTTTCTAGTTTATTCTTGGAAGAGAAAAACAGCTCCTAGTATATAATATTTCTTAGGAGCTAGAACCATTTAGCGAGAAGAAACCCTCCCAGACAAGGTCTAAGTACCCATAAAATGCTGGTCTCTAGGCCTACGGTACTGTGAGCGTGTATAAGAACACGAAAAAGCGAGTCAATCAGAAGTTGGTCCTACCACTAACAAGTATTTTGTCAAACAACACAAATACATTTTGTGCATGTATAAGAACCATGCCATCTACTTCGATTATCCAAATTGGCAAGAATTTGAGCTTCTAGCGACAATTTACTTGCAGCAAGTAGTTCGTGAATTGCAAACCGTAAACTGTATAGGACATCATTACAAGTTACAACATCCAATATGACATTTTTTACTACTAGTAAGATATATGAAAGAAATGTTGATTTGATTGCAATATTTAAATAGTCAAGGAATCATTATCTTAAAAGTAGTCAAGGACATGCAGTATCAAAGCTCATAATTTGACTAGCGATTTCTGTGAAAGATGATAATTCGACTAGTAATTTCTATAAAAATGCTTCAACATTTTTCAAAAAAACCTATTTTGGTAGCATTTTTTCATACGGAAAATTATGTACTTCCATTTTTTTAATGTAAATCTAGAATCATCTTTTAGACCAGAGGGAGCATTTAGGGGAAAACGGTGTCTCATATAATCTATGCATAAATAGGAAATTTGAGCAGATCGAACAAGAAATTAAAGATAAACTTGTGAGTCAACAAGGAGCATAACAAAAGATGTACCAAACCAAGAGTAGGCACGAAAATTATGTCAACAGAGGTGGAGGTTCAGGTTAATATGAGATATGAGGGGGGGGGGGTGAGTACACACATTTTCAACATTTGTGCCTAAATAACAAAAACATTTGAGGACGGGGTAACGAGAAAAGCAGAGAGAGAAACACAACATTTGGACTTTCTCAGAACGAACAAACAACCGTTTGATGAGGAATTGAGGATAGGAAAATAGGAAGGAGCAAGCTGACGAACAAACACAACAAAACCGGTCAAGGAGAGCAGCTGGGGTACTTGGCAGACCGGAAGCGCCAGTTCCCTAGGGCCAACCCTTCCAAGTTTCCGTCCATCTCGAGGAATAGAATAGGATCTCCCTCTTTTTCTTACTACTCCTTCCCAGTCTTCTGTCCTTAGGACCGGCACACCCAGAAAAAAAAAACCGCGGCGACAAAAAAGAAGGGGAATCGAGGCCGGGCGCCAAACACTGGGCACAATTCCCCACCCATCCTCGCCAGCCACCCGTCTCCACTCCACTTTTGACTCCCCTTAATCACCCGCCTGCCCTGCCTCTTAATTAACGTAATCTACTCCACCCGCGCGCCTTAATTAAAACCCCACCCTACTAATAATAACCTAATCTCCTGGCTAAGTCGCTAATCTACTCTACGCAGCGGTGCCGATTTTTTTGTTTTTTTAGCTTTTTTTAAAGTTTTTCACAAATATGCCCCTGGAGGTATGCTTTTAAAATCTGGACCCTTAGCTCGGCGCCATCATTAGTGACACCGAGCTTACATGTTTTGGCGCCATAGATTTTGACACCTAGGTCTTGGGCTCGACTCAAACGTGGCGGTGACTTGACAGACACCTTGACGCCGAGCTTAGCGCCGTGGTTATTGACGCCGAGAGCAACGCCAAGATCTATGGCGCCGAGGTGATGTTTTAACCCAACGTCCAACCTTCCTGCCCAAGCATTTTTCCTCTTCTTTCTCCTCCCTTTCGGGTTTTTTCTCTCCCCACTTCGCCCTACCTCACGAATAGGCATATTGGACCTTGAAAACTTTGATTTGATCCGTAGATCTTCAAGAACAAGTATCCTCGCTCTCTCCTAGTTTTTTTCAAATTGATTCGGTATATATTAGTCAAATTTTTCAACTTAAGAATCATCATTATTTATGGTTTCATTCAATTTTAATATTTATATTATACAACCGTAGGATGCCAAGACGTGAAAAAGCTACCAAACCAAGGTAACCTCAGCGTACGTTGTTATGATATGGGTTCATTATTGTGGATCAAATGGGAAACCATAGGTGTAGGGTTTAATGTTAATTGCTTTCGGTTCTTAGAACGAAAATGGCTAAATTGTAGTTATGGCCGGATGACCGAAAATGCCTTCGATCCATTGCCTCTGTCTAGTGGTGTTCCAGTGCCCATGTGCTTTTGCGACGATCCTTGCAAGGTAGCCAAGTCCGATGAAGAGGACACGTATAGGCAGATGTATTGGATGTGTTTCAATTTTGCGTTTGAGCCTACACTTCGTCAGCGCCGCATTAACAAGATGGTGAGGAATTAATGTTTGTGTCATATGACATCTTGTATGATTTTTTTTTGTTTTGTAACAATTGCATTTTTTACAGACTCCTCCACCGCTCTGTGATTTTGAGCAGTGGATCGACACCGAGATCAAGCCTGAAGACAAGGAATATATGCAGAACTGTTGCGGTGGGAGGCAGAGGATAAGTAGATGATAGAGAAGAGACGTAGAGAGGAGGATGCAAAAAAGGAGCACAAGAAAGAGAAGAAAAGGAGGCGTGCTGCTGCGTACAGGGAGGAGAGGGAGAAGAAGCTTGAGGGAGAAGAAGCTTGAGCGTGTACGTCGAGCGAAAGCAGCGATGGAGGAGAATCCCAATGCCCTGAGGAAGGGAAAGTGAACTCGTTGCACTCAGTAGTCTCCATTACTTACTAGTTCTATAGTTTATTTATGAACAATGTTGTCTACTGTTAGACTTTTTATTGTGTTGTCATGTAATGCACTTTAAGTATGAGCATGCTTAAGTCATGTACTGCGTTATTTAGTTTGTCGACACGTACTTCTAGTATTATTGTATTGTTTAATGTGTCATAGTATTGGACTTTTCATTATGTAGTTGTTTTTCAATACTTGTGATCATAATATTCAGTTTAATATTGTGGACGTAGTAAAATATGATCACGTGCTGCAAACAAAACCTAACGAAGTAGGGTATTATATAATTCAACACACAAAACACATGAAATGACATGTGAGGACATGTACCGAACTAGGGTACATAGGTCCTGAACTAAACCTAACATGCCTTAGGTAATTGAAGCAAACAACAAGCACAAGGAATGGCATGTGAGAACATATATCAAACAAGGGTACATAGTTCCTTTGACTAAACCTAACATGCCTTAGATAATTAAACCAAACAACAAACACATGGATATGCCATGTGAATAAGATAGGATCGTCCCCCCTTTCCTCTAGATGACCCTCCAGACATTCCTACTCCAACGAAATCGAATACTAGTTTGGTTTTCCTTTTGGTTAGCAATACATCCTAGAACGCATATATATATGCGGAGGCAA